TTGAGAGGAGTCAGATCGAACACAGCGGTATGAGCTGCTACAACAACAACTAACAGTACTTTCTCTATTAACCCTTCTATCACCCCTAACACCAACAATTTTATTCTTCCTATGATGAACACAATGGGCCAAAGGCGTTTGAGTGAAGCAGTTGCCGACTCTCGTGTAAATCATGGGACTGTTGCAAAGGCGATTGTTTTTGTGGAATCCTCTACTGTTTTGTGTGTCCAAGGTGATCTCCTTCAGCTTGGCTTGGAAAAATACACACCCCGGTTTCAGATCGCTGCTATAGCTATACCATATTCATTATTATGCATTAAGGACGATAATAATTCTCGCTTGGAAAATACCACAATCAACATTCGATGTACACGAATTAGGGTACTGAAGTTAAATGTCCGAGAAAAGTAGGCTTTGACCATGGTGATCTCCTTCTTTTGGCCATATACCCAGCTCCAAGGTAGATATATTCATCTTATCACAGGCTGCTTTTATTGATGATGAAAGGTTTTTTAGGGCAGTACAAAAACCGGAATATAATACGCTGTGTGCAATTGTGTGTATGTGAGTGCATTGTCATATGGTTCCGCTGCTGGTTCAATGCTCTAATTAAAGGTTAAATTACAATTTCACTTGATTGGTTAGCGCGCTGTGGTGTATGTCACTGCCCGGACATTTGTTTGTTGCTTTCTCCATTCTTGAATGTTTTGCTTTACCACCTCTCCTTGTATGCTGTGAAATTGTTCCTGGATGGCTCCACAGTAACAGCAGCAGTCATTACCCTTTTTTATTTGTTTATTGTTGCTGAATGTATGGGGGTCACAGTGAAATTGCATATTTATACGTTTTTGTTCTTGTTGTTTTTTTGATCATGTTAACCCTTCTGTCATGTAATGTTTTTTTGCTTTATTGAAATTTAAAACTTAGCTCCTACACAACGGCATTCTACTTTTTTGCGCGCTCTCTCTCTGTCCATTTTTTGGCCTTTGAGATGAAAATCATCAGTACTTTAACCCCCTTCATTTTAGTGATTCATATCCGATTATGTAGGTACTGCTGGCGGCGGCGTCATTCACTCGCTCGCACTGTTTGTTCTGCGAACAAACATGTCTTATATTTCAAGGCGAAGTTATGAAAAGGGATAAAATCCCATATGACGCTTTTCTTTTGTTCGTCGGTAAATTAGCCAAACCGAGGATTCCCAACAAAAAATCTTAATTTCAATGGAACAAAAGACCATATAAAACTTTGTTGCTTTGCTTTTAAAAATAGTCCGGGGCAATTGAGATGTTGGGTACAACCAAACATTAAACTTTCAGGAAAAAAATCAGAAAATGTTTAACATCAAACATTGTTGCTTCTCTATTTTTAATAAACAATTTTCAGCAGTCCATAAACATTAAGGTGTTAGGTGATATGCGACAGACCGATTGCCCTGGCGCAAAGTCAGATTCATTGATGTGGGAATTTTTGAAGAGAGACTGTGCAACACTTTACAATTGCTTGAAAAATAAAAAATGCAAATAAATTTAGCCATGCTTTACACAACTAAAGTCATTCTAAGTAGACCTGATCTACTCCCATGTATGTTTTACTTGGTAAGTTTTTTTTTTGGCTAATTGGGCAAACGAAAATAGTTATGAGGTGCATTTCAGATAACTTGGTTTCTCAAATAGATGCACAGGAAGAACAAGCTCCCTTCACTTAGTAAGTCTGATGTAAGAATCGCGGTACATACAGGGTGACATAAAAAAACTGCAACAAAGTCAAACGCCATAATTTTTACATTCTTTTTTTAATTTTATTGAACTAAAGCAAAAAATGTCTGAAATAGCATCAAATTTTAGAATAAGTTTAGATTTGTTCGAATTGGTCACCTTTGGCACGAATTATGGCCTTCAAACGGCCAATAAAGCCGTCACTCTCTCCCCGAATGTTGCTCTGCCGTATTTTGGCTTATTCCCGGCAAAGTGCTTGTTTCAGGTGATCGACACTTTGGTAATTTTTAGTGCCAATCTTGCTTTCCAAAATACTTCAGGCACAATAGTCCAACGGATTGGTATCCGAAGATTTTGTTGGCCATTATGCGTTGGAAATGAAGGAACCTCATTTTGTAACCATTCTTGGGTGGCGCGTGCTGAGTTCGATGGTGCTGAGTCCTGTTGGAATGTCCAAGGTCTGCTGCCAAAATGTTTACGTGCCCAAGGCTTTAATGCACCCTCCAGAATAGTTTCGCTATGATATTCGGCATTTATTCTAATGCCACGGTCGATTAATTCGAGCTGAGAGCGACCATCGGCTGTTATGGTGGCCCACAGCATCACCATGGCCGGCGCCTGAGTTTCGGTGGCCAACCGAAGGTGCACATTTTCAGCTGACCTCTTTGGCAAGTAAACACGATCATTTTGAACAACGAATGGTTTCTCATCGGAGAAAACCAAATTCGGCTGTTCACCACATTCGACCAAGCGAAACAACTCTTTAGCTCTTTTGAGTCTATTTTCTTTTCGTTGTGGTGTAAGTTCTTGCACTTTTTGGAATTTCAATGGCTTTACCCGAGCTCATTTTTCAATATTTGCAGAATGGAATATTGCGATATGTTCAGAAACGAGCCATTTTCGGCCACAGCGACGCGGGTTTCGATCAAGTCGCTTCTTTACTTTTCGAACCATTTCTGCTGATTTTGCTGTTTTCTTCCATCCAGTGGCCAGTCAATATATAGGATGAGATAAAAAAAACTGCAGCCAACTTCAGTCTGCTGTCGTTTATAAGAGACAATATTAATTAACAAGAGACATAGGCTATTTATTTGGAACTTGGGAGATAGAAATTCTTAAGTTCTTTCCAGACATAGATCATCATCTACAAGTTTGCTAAAAGCATTCCTGACTTTGCAGACAATCCCATCCTTTGAGGAGGCATTTGCCATCGATTTTTGCATTTAACTTTTCACACCCACATATTTTGTTCTGTTGATTGCTTTAATGACAATTCATATGAACGGATGTGGTACCACATCGATCCGTTGCAGCGATTAGGTTAAACCAAATGGTTCAAGTAAAAAAGCTGTAAGTTCGGCCGAGCCGATCTTTGAATACCCTCCACCATTTGGCACGAATTCGGCAATTCTCAAAAAAATAACATCCGTTAAAAATTCTGTTAAAACCATAAAAATATCTAATGTAGTCGATATATTGGGGTCTATATTAGGTCTATACGACGATGTGAGCCTGCATAGGCGACTTTTGTCATAAGCCATTACAATATTCAAATGCGAAACTTGATAAAAAATCGGTGAATAATGTAGCCAAAATCATCAATATAACAAATATCGGAGGAACCGTTTAAGAATACGTGGGATTATAAGAAGACGTTGTCCTGTACAGACAATTGTCTACCATAGGCTATAGTATCCATTACGAACTTCAAATACCAAATTTAAAACAATTCCGGTGAATAAAGTTGCAAAAATCATGGAAATACTGATTATCGGGAGGTACCGTTATGTGGGGGATATACGAAGACTTGGACCTGCCCTGACAATTGTCTATCTTAGGCTGTAGTATTCATTACGAACTTTAAACACCAAATTTAAAACAATTCCGGTGAATAAAGTCGCTAAAATCGTCAATATAGCGAATTTCGAGGAGTACCGTTATATGGGGTGATACGAAGACGTGGACCTGCACAGACCAGACCTGATCTGTCATAGGCTGCATGATACTACAGCCTATGACAGATATACTGTAGTATCAAATACCAAATTTGAAACAATTCCCGTAAATAATGTCTCTAAAATCATCAAAATACCGAATAACGGTACTCCCGTTGTATGGGGGTTATACGAAGACGTGGACCTGCACAGACAATTTTCTGTCATAGGCTGTGGCATACATTACGAACTTTAGATACCACATTTGAAACAATTCCGGTGATGAATGTCGCTAAAATCATTAAAGTACCGAATATCGGAAGTACCGGTAGATGGGGGCTACAAAAAAACTTGGACCTACATGATCCATTTTCAAAACCAAAAGTCCTGCAGACATAATACACATTTGAGTAGAATTTTATCAACCTACTTTAATTTCCACAGACGGACGGACGGACAGACAGACGGACCTCGCTAAATCGACATAGAATTTTATGCTGATCGAGAATGTATATACTTTTTGAGGTGTTACAAACGGAAAGACCAACATAATATACCCTCCATGCTATGGTGGAGTGTATAAAAATTTAAAAACAATAAAAATGGATCCCCAGCCAATAAATCGATAATAATTTTGCGTTGCATTCGAGTAGCCTGTAGGTGTCGCGGAACTCGCATTCAAACTGCCATCGATGCCACCAACGTAGCCCTATCGAAGCCATTTCCGATGAGCCCAATAGCAGAAAATTAGATTTTCCAAGCCAAATGTTGAGAAAAAAAATCTTAGTTACTTTAACTTTTACTTTAGATGCGATGTTTCATGATAAAAAGCAATTTCGCAAACTTCGCTCTAAAACTTTCCAAAAATTACTTGAGTGGTATTGTTTTATTTTTGAAAAGTGGTGTTACATTGACTTACAAATTTACGGACTTTTCCAAAAATGTGTGGGATTGCAAAAGTGGGAATTTTTCGGTATTATTCAATAAATAACACGTGGATGGGCTGGGTACAGAATTTTCAAGCCTCCTAAATAAACACAATTGATTTTTGTATTTTAATTATTAACTTAATGACAGTTTAATGAACCATTCCAGTACAATACGATAAAGTTCATTGTGTCATGAAAGATATTTATAAAACACACATGAAAAAATCGAAATTAATACCTGCTTTGTTTTCTATATAAAATGAATGTATAAAAAATATTTTGTGTAGGCCATTAATCTTTGCAGGCTTTAATAATTAAATTAACTGATTAGATTTCCTGTCATCAATTTCTATAAATTTTTTTATACCACACAAAATAACACTTTTTAACATTTCTTGTTGGTTTTTTGTTTCTTTCAGGAAACTTATCCATCATCACCCCCAGTTTGGTTTGCCGAAAGTGAAGAGACAAGTGTAACAAATGCTGTTCAAATACTAAGCAATACAAATGGTCGTGATAACCATGTCATAAACCAGGTCAGTTTGCAATGCTAACTTTGCAACAGAAATGACCTTTCTTTGGTGTGTTCTTTTTGTTGTTATTTTATTTTGCTATGCTATGCTTTGTTTGTTTATTTATTTAACTGATTGAGTTTTTATTAGGTTATGTTGTCGTGATTTGTGGTGACCTAAATGCGATGACGACACTGTGCTAATTATGTTTTCTTTCTTCCCCACAGGTTGGCATATTATTACGAGAATTGTGCCGCCTACATAATGTTCCACTGCCGCCCGATATAGACAACCTCACAATACCGTTTCAATTGCCACCACCCAATAGTTCATCATCATTGAATCAACAGCCTGCAGCTCAGAATCAAATTGAGGATATCGAATCAGATCAAGATGATATCGAAGATCCCATTGGAGACAGTGAACAAGAAAGCGAGGCAGATGAAGATCTTCCCCTGGAAATGGATGATGTTCGCAGTACGAATAAAGTAAGGGCGATTGCGAATTTTAATAGTCCTCGCAATTTTGTTATTAACGTTTTTTTTTTTAATTTTTACAGAAGGACGAAATGGAAGTTGAACACTTAGCAACACTTGAAAGACTGCGTCAAAGTCAACGACAAGACTATCTAAAAGTGAGTATATTTTTTATTTTAGTTAAGGAATGCTTTTAAATACTGCCGTACAGGGTGAGAAAAAAACTGCAACAAAGTCAAACGCCATAATTTTTAGATTTTTTTAATTTTATTGAATGAAAGCAAAAAATGTCGGAAATATATCAAATAAGTTTAGATTTGTTCAAATTGGCCACCCTTTTGGCACGAATAAAGGCCTTCAAAAGGCCAATGAAACCGGCACACGCTGACCGAATGTTGCTCTGCGGTATTTTGGCCCATTCCCGGCGGAGCGCTTGCTTGAGGTGATCGACACTTTGGTATTTTTTAGTGCCAACCTTGCTTTCCAAAATACTCCAGACACAAAAGTCCAACGGATTGGTATCCAGAGATTTTAGTGGCCATCATTTTGTAACCATTCTTGAGTGGCGCGTGCTGAGTCCTGTTGGTATGTCCAAGGTCTGCGGCCAAAATGTTTGCGTGCCCAATGCTTTAATACACCCTCCACAGTCGGTTAATACGAGCGGAGAGCGACCATCGGCTGTTATGGCGGCCCACACCATCACCATGGCCGACGCTTGAGTTCTGGTGGCCAACCGAAGGTGAACATTTTCAGCTGACCTCTTTGGCAAGTAAACACGATCATTTTGTTGTTTACAAACTGCAGGACAACGAATGTTTTCTCATCGGAGAAAACCAAATTCGGCAGTTCGCCACTTTCGGCCAAGCGAAGCAACTCTTTCGCTCTTTTGAGTCTATTTTCTTTTTGTTGCGGTGTAAGTTCTTGCAATTTTTGGAATTTCAATAGCTTTACCCCGAGCTCATTTTTCAATATTTGCCGAATGGAATATTGCTATATGTTCAGCTTACGAGTCATTTTTCGCCCACTGGAAAAGTAATGGAATAATTTTAACGGCTGTCGGACGAATGGCTTAGAAATGACAGCAGTCTGAAGTGGGTTGCAGTTTTTTCATCTCACCCTGTTTACATAATTCTTAAATGTCAATGCTTAATAATGAAAAAATAAACAATTTTAATTTTCCTTTCCTTTATTCTCCTATTTTCAGGGTTCAGTTTCCGGTTCCGTTCAAGCAACCGATCGCTTAATGAAAGAATTACGTGATATCTATCGTTCTGATTCGTTTAAGAGCAATATGTACTCCATAGAATTAGTAAATGACTCCATATACGAATGGAATATACGCCTTAAGTCCGTTGATCCCGACAGTCCATTACACAACGATTTGATAATGCTCAAAGAGAAAGAAGGCAAAGATAGTATTCTGCTAAATATAATATTCAAGGAAACCTATCCATTTGAACCGCCATTTGTGCGTGTTGTACATCCAATTATATCAGGTATTTCCTTGAATGCTCATTCCTAGTTTTAACCTCTGACATAATGTAATCGAATTCTAGGTGGCTATGTCTTACTGGGAGGCGCAATTTGCATGGAGCTACTAACGAAGCAAGGCTGGAGTTCGGCATACACCGTGGAGGCGGTTATTATGCAAATTGCAGCCACATTAGTTAAGGGCAAGGCCAGAATCCAGTTTGGGGCAACCAAGGTAAGTATAACTGTATTCATTACATTTTTGGGTTAAAAAACTGCTTTTGTGGTGTGGTTTACTTTGCATTTGCGCATTTCCATATGAATAACTAAATTACCTACTCAGGCCTTATCGCAGGGTCAATACAGTTTGGCGAGGGCGCAACAGAGTTTCAAATCATTGGTTCAAATACATGAAAAGAATGGTGAGTTAAAAAAAATAATGCGTTCTTGGCAACGAATTCGTAATTCTAAATTCTTTTTTTCTGTATGTACAACAGGTTGGTTCACTCCCCCCAAAGAGGATGGCTAAGACTTAATGAGATGAAGCATAGAGCCCACACATACATATATATTTCCACAGTACCCCACCATCATTAAGGCGCCCCCTAAAATAACTATCATCATAACTATCCTCCTCGAAGCTGCTTGAAATTGTTTTTTATTCTTTGTGTGAAGTATTTTGACGCAAAACAAATTACCACCAGCAACAGACAGAATGCCAACAACAACAACACCATAATTATTTTATTCTTCATTAAAGTAAAAAAAATGTCTCCTGATGTGTACTCGCGCTTCTTATTATGTGTAATTATAAATATTTTCATTGTAATAGTGTACTACTACTCTTATATATTTATATGTCATTGATGTCTTGTTTTACAACTACATCTTTCAAACATTGTCATCAATAATTTGCTGTTCTCCAGCCAGCCAGCCAGCAATACCCTGTAATTGGTCGTATACAAGAGAAAACGGGAAATGCTTTTTACATTTGGATATAAAAAAGCTGTGAAGCTAGAATGGGATAAACAAGTCATTTCTCTCTTTGGACTTGCTATACAAATGCGTATATATATAAAAACAAGAAACATACTATCTTTATCCCTTTTCGATTATATTGCTAAAGTAGTTTGTAGTGTGTAATATTATTTGTCTTTAATAAGTTTTTTTTTCTTTTTTTTAATTATATAATTATTTTAAATTTGTACGTTTTGTATTTTGTTTAATTATCCTGTTCCTCCCACCACCACAATTGAAGCTACTGCATTCATTGAACAATCACTTCAATCAAAAACCTTCCTCCTCCACCGTTCCTCCATCCTCCTTATCACAATACCATGTACTCCAGAGTAGTGTTTTTCCAAGATGTTTTTTACGTTTTTGGTTTTAAACAAAAATGAGAAACAAGTATATAAATATACATATTAAATAATAAAATTACTTAAATTATAGCTACTAATGGATATATATGAACAAAACACATGAAGTATATTATTAAAAAATAGCAACAAAAATAATTATATATTTTTATTTGTGTTTTGCAAACAAACAAAAAAGGATTGAAGTTGACAAGAAAAAAAAAAAAACAAATGTGGAACCAAACAAAAAACAACAATATCTGTAACATTTAAGTTTTACACATACATACAAAAAGAATAAAACCACGCAAGAATTATAAATAAACAAGAAAATTGCAAAAAATACATTAAACTAAGTTAATATTATAAATATGCAACAACAACATTACAGTAAATAAATAAAATTAATTTTAAATTAAAAGCCAACCAGCCAACAACTAATTAACTATAAAGAAAATAAATAAGCGCATTATCATATAAACGCAGATAAAAGCTAGGCTATTGCAAAATATTTCCAAGTTATGTGTAGATTGCAAAGGTGGTGGAACCTGAATAAATGAAGAGAATACTTATAAATTAGGTCCTGGGCCTTAATTCTTGTTCTATGAAGATGTGAAATGAAAACTTTTATAAAGAAAAGAAATGTCAAATGAAAAAATTTATAAGGAAAATATTTTTCATTTCATATTTTCATAGAACAAGAATCCAGCCCCTGCTTATGTATATCGACATGAAAGCAGCAAGTGTGAAAGAGAACCACAATTTCACATATGTATTTCGAATTTATAATTTAATCAAAAAAACATTTGAATATTATTTGGAATGGTGTTTTTCTTTCCCGTTCATATTCGTATCTACATACAGCAACATGCTCTTAGAAAACTTGTTTACGATTTCTCACTTTTTTTCATATTTAAAGAGAATTGAACTTCTGTGACCTACATAGCCTGGAAATATCTTATAATATATCTAGAACAAATAAATTGATTTATCGGGATAGTCTTGAATAATTTCTTCAAATTTCTTCACTTTGCTTCATATTTGATCTACAAATGCAGACGATTTTGAAACAAGATTTTGTATGAACTACCAATGTTCATGTATTTTTGTCTATTTTTTTTTTTTTTTTTTTTTCAAATTTTCTCAATCACAACAGCTATATAATATAAATAATAAATAAACCACAAATAATTATAAAAAAAATAAATGAAAATAATATAAACCATTTTAAGTTAAAAAATCAACACAGGTGTTTTATTATTCAGGACCGAGTCACTCAAGACGGGATAGAGAGAGAGAGTTCCACTAGGAAAACTATCAGCAGAAGGGCACCGCAGGCGGGAGTCCTCTCACTCCAGTTTTGAATCTGGTGATTAACGAAATACAGGGTGAAATAAAGAAGTGCAACAAAGTCAAACGCCATAATTTTTACATTTTCTTTATATTTTAATGGATGGAAGCAAAAAATATCGGAAATAGCATCAAATTTTAGAATAAGTTTAGATTTGTTAGAATTGGTCACCTTTGGCACGAATTATGCCCTCCAAACGGCTCTGCTCAGCGGTATTTTGACCGATTCCCGGCGAAGCGTTTGCTTGAGTTGATCGACACTTTGGTATTTTTTAATGCCAACCTTGCTTTCCAAAATGCTGCAGGCACAATAGTCCAACGAATTGGTATGCGGATATTTTGGTAGTCATTGTGCGCTGAAAAAGGAAGCGAGGTACCTCATTCTGTAACAATTCTTGGGTGGCGCATGCTGAGTGCGATGGTGCTGAGACCTGTTGGAATGCCCAAGGTTTGCGGCCAAAATGTTTGCATGCCCAAGGCATTAATATTTATTCTGATGCCACGGTCGATTAATATGAGCGGAAAGCGACCACGGCTGTTATGGCGATCCACACTATCACCATGACCGGCGCTTGAGTTCTGGTGGCCAACCGAAGGTGCACATTTTCAGCTGACCTCTTCGGCAAGTCAACACGTTTATTTTGTTTGTTTACAAACTGCTGGGCAACGAATGTTTTCTCATTGGATAAAACCAAATTCAGCAGTTCACCACTTTCGGCCAAGCGAAGCAACTCTTTAGCTCTTTTGCATCTATTTTCTTTCTGTTGCGGTGTAAGTTCTTGCACTTTTTGGAATTTCAATAGCTTTACACCGAGCCCATTTTCCAATATTTGCCGAATGGAATATTGTGATATGTTCAGCTCACGAGCCACTTTTCGGCCACTGTTCTGACATGTGGGTGCCTCGTCTGGTGGCATGCGATCTAGGGCACTCATGTCCAAATCAACCACAGTTCAGAGAGCCGCGTCCTTTCTGACAACCAGATCTCTCAAGAACACTCCCCAAGCTGCCTTGGGCTTGCTGCTAAACTTCCAGCCATTGGACATTTTAGCGCGGGGACTACGGGAAGGCTCTCTTCACATTTTGCCATTGCACGAATCCTGGACGTACCAATAAGTCAGAGTATACTTGGTGAAGATAGTGCGAGTAGTGGTTACATGTCCACCTTTTTGACTTCAATTATAATGACGTTAAAATGGGTCGCTTAGGCCAGTTGTGAACATGTAAAAAGAATCTCCTGGGTAGACAAACCACTAATACATCTCTCATGAAACTTACGATTTCGTTGATCTTACCTGGGAAACTATCACAGTTGAATTGGAGAAATGATGCCGTATCCGGAACTTGAACCGCAATGTGTGGCGTCAACTGGTGCTCGATTCGCTGTTGTGGAGATTGCGGGGGAGTCTCCTACTCCGACGACGATGTGGACGACGAAGATGAAGACTCACTGGGGTCTATACTCCTGTATCCGGCTTAAGCAAGAGCAATTCCGGAAATGCACCAACTTCATGCATCCGTTGCATCCCACCGAGAACGATATGTGGTGGATGCGGATTCGAGTCAATCCGGTACATAGAACCGGCCGCCGTGGGATTGGGCCATGCCTAACAAGCGGGACTGAATAGTATTCACTCTTACGCGGTCTCTGAAGTCATGAAATGATATAGAGTGAACACTGTACTAGGAGACCATCTCCCTCCCATCGAAGCTGAAGAGCGAGAGCTGCCCCGACTCGCCCGAGTCGCTTTGGCTCAGTTAAGATGCGGATGGACGCCTCAATTCCTATTGGACTCGGATTGAAGGTGATGTACAGAACACCTGCCCAGCTTGTGGCACAGGTCCACATGACACGCTACACCCAACCCGTACAGGATGCATTCTTTTTTAGACTGGACTTAGAGGTAGAACTGAATTGAGAAGAGACAGAATGAACACAGCAGTATGAGCTGCTACAACAACAACAACTAATACATCGCTACATTTATTTCTTTCTTATTCGCTTCTATATTTTACTATCATCACTTTTTATCCTTCCTGGGATGAACATAATGGACCAAAGGTCTTCGAGTGAAGCAGCCATCGATTCCCGTGTAGCTGCGCATCCTTAAACTAAACCTAAGCTTATTTCATTTAATGAATTGTTTACGTTACAAAACAAACAAAAAAAGTATTAGTTCCGTGTAAAACTCTATGTTTTTATTCTATAACAAAACTTAAATCTAAATACATACATAGCATTGATTTACGCTAAACAAAATAGTATTGTTTATCTTTTCTATTAAATATTATACCGTGACCACAGATGATTCCTTTGCCATAACGGATTGCTTCAAATTAGACGTTCTACTGTTATCTTGGACAAAATGTATAACATCATCCTGACTGCTGGAAACATCAGCGGCAGCTGTTAGCAGTTCCAAAGAGCCTTGCAATTCCAATAAATCATAAGTTAAGGCAACTTCACGTGCCAAAACATAAGATAATTCCAGGAACTTTTTACCCACACCATTGGAAAGTGTGTGTATTTTATCTTCATAAACGTCGAGCAAAGTGGTAGCCACATCAATTAGGACACGCGTAAAACGATGTTCACTGATGTACCGGCAAACGAAACCAATGATCTGACACAACGTAGAATCATCACGGGGAAAAAGGGCACGATTCAAACCCTTTCTATGTATCAGTTCTTGCATTACACTAACAATTAATTCCGGTGATTTGGTAGACAATCCAATGCCCAGAGCCGAATCCAAACATTTACTATATTCGTAGCGTTTCAAATGTCTATCGTATTTGTCTAAACGTTGTCTTTGTTCTTCGGTAATTTGATGATCAATAGCAATATTGGAAGATTTTGAAGCGGTTATTTTGGCAATGCGACGTGATTTCACTTCTTTGGAACGGGCGGGAGCTTCCATGTTTTGTATTGATATCAAACCATCAACCATACCAGCTACAACTGTTTGGTCATTGGGAGCAACACCCAAACTCAACACAGCATTGGGATAATCTAGAGTGTGCACTGTCTGATATGTAGATACATCGTAGATTTTGACATGACGATCTAAGCCGCCAGAAAGTATACGTTTGCCATTTGATCCCAGACGCAAACAAGTTACAGTTTTATGATGCTGTGATAGCTTTGTCAGCAAACGACAGCCAGCAAATGCATCCCAAACACGGACCTCGGTACCTCCAGCACTTAAAAATATACCGCCAGTTGGTAGGAACAGCAATGATTCCACGGGACTGCCATGATCCACACTCATGGTAACCTCTTTGGTACGTGTGTCGTACAGATTTATTTTACCATCATAACCACCAGAGACAATAACATCAGCGGATACGGGATTTACCGTTCCAGCTCTAATGTAGTCATCATGTTCAGCAAAGGTGTGAATAGACTTTTCACTTGCTACGTCCCACAATTTGACTGTTTTATCATCTGAGAAACTGGCAATATGCAACAGGTCCGATGTAAAGTTTACTCTATGCACCGGAGCCTTGTGTCCCTTGAAAAGACGCAGAACATTTTTACTCGACGTGTCGAACAGCTTCACCAGGCCCTGCTCATCGCCGGCCACCAATAAACGACCATCTTGACGAAATGTTCCACCGTACGCTGTCTCTTGGAAACGTGACAGATTCTTAACAACTAATTTCGTAATTGGATTGTAGATTTGCACTCTCACGGAACAGGTTACGGCAAAATAATGTGGTTCAATGGGTGAAAAGTCGATATAATCGATGGCTCCAAATTCCTTGGCCAAGGTGGGAACCTAAATCGGCAGGAGAGAAAAAGAATTTTAAACACAATATCCCAACGAGATAGTAACAAGACTTACGCTCAATCGTTTCCAATACTCCGTGTCTGGCGTAACAACCTGGCCCGTCTTAGGGTACTTCTTGACATTTAAGGGTTTGAAAGCAGTCATTATTTAAGTTTTATTTAATAAATGTTATTATATTTTAAAAGAAATACCACTAAAACTATTTCCAAAAATGTTGCTGTCAATGTTGTTTTGACATTTGGCGATTACACGTGCTGTCAACAAAAGGACAGAGTTGTATTTCTAGATGTTACCACCTGAATGTTGATTAAAGCCTTTGTGCACTCTGCGAAGCATAATAATTCAGAATCTTACAAAAAAACATAGGCATTAATTAAAATTACAGATTATTAGACCAATAATGGATCGGCTGATTTCCAGATTGTATGGTCTATTAAACGACCAAACTGTGCCTGATTGAAATATCGGACAAAATCCCATCTATGAAGTTTGGAGTTAGCTTATCCATGCCCATCTGTCTGTCTGGCCGGATGGTGGACCATTTTTTCTCTACCTCCTTTATAAAATGTAAAAATTCCAACCATTATATGGGGGCTATGCCAAAACGTGTGAACATTTTAGTTAAAATCAAATCGCATATTAAAGGTATACACTTTTTAACATGACATCAAGAGTTTTCCAAAAGAATTTTAGTTTTATGCAATTCTTTGGTTCCTCTTCTATTGAGCTTACGATCTCTTCACTTGGGTAAATAAGTTTTTTGACCAGGCAATAAACAAGAGAACTGATGAGGATTGGTGGTTCTTCCGAAACCTAGGTATTCGCTGACTTACCCCCTGGTAAACATTACCATCGTTATCCACTAATAAACAAACGTTGTTTTTATATAAAAAAAAACAATAATAAAGGGATTAAGCCCGACCATTATGCAACAACACAATACTATGGTATCCCGAACAAACAAAAAAACTATGAATTCCAGTTTTTTTCAATCGTTTTAGTTTTTATTTACACATTCGACCAGTATTTTGGGCTTTTTGTTAATACACGCTCACATGGCAACGTCGTTGTTCTAGGTTGTCATTCACCATGCTTATTGTGAATGATTGTGGTGCCCAGCTAATTTGACAAGTCACAACAAAACATCAACATCTTGGGCACGTCATCTTGGAACAAAGTTTTTTAGTTTCTTTTATCCACATAAAAACGAATAAAAATGGTAATTATTTACTAATAATATAATGCTTTTAAATAATAAAATAAATGTATTTATTTGCAGAGTGCTTTATTCAATTTCCAAAGTTTGTTATCGGTAATTTTATTGATGATTTGCACCTGTGCATATCTTCGTTCCCTCTTCCCAAGTATCATTGACCGCAACAAGACCGGGTGGGTGTTGAATGCTTGTTTGAAATGATTTAAAAAATTCTAATTGTTTTCAAACTGTTCCTTTGATTTAGGCTGCTGGGTGTTTTCTGGAAACTGGCAAGGATAGGTGAACGAAAATCACCATACGTGGCTGTGGCGTGTGTTATCATGGCAGCATCGTTACTATTTTGGACGTGATTGATATTTGTGGCGGCATTTACTACAATGAACTTGAATCATCCACAAATATTAGGGCTATGAGTGTTTTTTATTTTGTAATTATCCACTCCAGTTTATTATTTGAGAGAACAATTTTGCATTTCCTTGTTTTTTAGAATTAAACCTCCATATATGTATGCATGAGTGTATGTAAATATACATTATTTTTAAGGCGATTTGTAAAAGTCTGTTTATGCTTTTTGGTTCAATGACTCCCGGGAAGGCAAAATAAGTGTCTGAACTTAAGGGAATTTTGAAATTATAAAAAGTAGTTTTATCGGGCACTGAATACAGTGTTTTTTACTTGTGACTGGTAACATGAAGCTCATATCTTATTTTAAAAATAATTAGATTTATCCTTCTGCTGAACGAGTATGGAAAAACAACGCATGTAATATTGCGACTTTACTTGCATTACAAATGTAACGTAATGTTGCGGAATGCGTGCAATTGCGTACGGATTTTGGAAGGAGAGAATCACTGACAGCTCTGTATGTAAGAAGCAAAATTGTTGCATTTGGACACAGAAAACTCGCAAGCGGATTTTGTTCCATAGGCATTTTACGCAATTTTTCTTCGAAAATGTGGTAGGAGTTTCCATTGCGTTATTCAACCAACGAAGGCTGAGGATACTGGTAACATTTGGTTCTAACACCGACGGCGCTACGTGCTTCATAGCCGGAATTACATGATTTTCGAAGAAAAAGTTGTTCGACAGACCCCTTATAAAATATCAAGGTTAAGGAAATTATTTTTCTCAACCATTGCTTAGCGAAATTTTTCCTAAGAAATCCTAAACACATATATCTGATTCCTAGGGGAAAATGTATAACCAATATTTGAATATGTGTTATCTGACGTCCCATGACCGCCTACGCAGCTGCAAACTTTACTTTGAAAGTATATTCTGAGTGAGTATCCACTTTGAGATTTGTTCAGAAATGGAAGCTTTAAAGTCGAATCCATATCCGATATTGGTCAAAAACCTTTAAATAATCCCGTTTGTAGACCTTTAAATTGTTAATAAGAATTCTTTTAAAAATTCACGTTTGTAGACGTTTAAATTGTTGATAAGAATTTTTTAAAAAATCCACATTTGTAGAGCTTTAAATTTTTGATAAAAATTCCTAAAAAAAATGCACGTTTGTAGGGCTTTAAATTGTTGATAGGCCGTTTGTAGGCCTTTAAATTGCTGATAAAAATTCTTTTAAAAATCCACGTTTGTAGGCCTTTAAATAGTTGATAAAAATTCTTTAAAAAATCCTTTGCACTTTTAATAAAAATTCTTTAAAAAATCCACGTTTGTAGGCCTTTAAATAGTTGATAAAAATCCTTTAAAAAATCCTTTGCATTTTTGATAAATATTTTTTAAAAAATCCACGTTTATAGGGCGTTAAATTGTTGATAAAAATTCTTTAAAAAATCCACGTTTGTAGGGCGTTAAATTGTTGATGAAAATTCTTTAAAAATCCATGTTTGTAGGGCTTTAAATTGTTGATACAAATTCTTTAAGAAATCCGTTTGTAGGGCGTTAAATTGTTGATAAAAATTCTTTAAAAATTAACGTTTGTAGACCTTTACATAGTTAATAAAAATTTTTTAAAAAATCCACGTTTGTAGGCCTTTAAATAGTTGATAAAAATTCTTTAAAAAATCACTTTTTTAGACCTTCAAATTGTTGATAAAAAATCTTGAAAAATCCACGTTTGTAGGCCTTTAAATAGTTGATAAAAATTCTTTTAAAAATCACTTTTGTAGACCTTTAAATTGTTGATAAAAAAATCTTTAAAAAATCCACGTTTGTAGACCTGTAAATAGTTGATAAAAAAAATCTTTAACAAATCCACATTTGGAGACCTCTAAATTGTTGATAAAAAATCTTTAAAAAATCCATGTTTATAGGCCTTTAAATAGTTGATAAAAAATCTTTAAAAAGTCCAAGTTTGTAGGCCTTTAAATAGTTGATAAAAAATCTTTAACAAATCCACGTTTTTGGGCCTTTAAATAGTTGATAAAAATTCTTTAAAAAATCCTCGTTTGTAGGTCTTTAAATAGTTGATAAAAATTCTTTAACAAATCCACGTCTGTAGGGCTTTAAATAGTTGATAAAAATTCTTTGAAAAATCCGCGTTTGGATAAAAATTCTTTAAAAATTCCATGTTTGCTTGCAGACCTTTAGTTGGTAAAATTTAAAAAAAAAAATCCACGTTTGTAGACGTTTATTTTAATTTATGTCGCAGCGCCATCTGTTAGCACTAAATACTAACAATACATCCTTTCGTGCGATCCACAAGATGTCGCTTCAGTATTTTCATTTCCGTTACCATGGCAACACAATTTAATTTTGTTTTTATTCTACTTCACTTATTCTTCCCATTTTTGTCAGAAACGAAAGGAGAAAAACAAAACAAAAAATACTTTTAATTACCATGTTCAGTTCCCATCCAAAACATTCGGGAGTCTATTATCTTAAAGATGGCATAGAAAATCTACAAATAAAAGTGAATTTTCGTTCTATCGGCAGCTTGCTTCAATTGCCGAAATTTGAGTTTCACAACAAACAGGGAGTTGGTTATCCATGGAAAACGGGAAACTTCACTGCAACCTCAGGGGATGATGGCGACAACAGTCTAACCACGGTGACACTCAAATGGCAGCAGAAAATTCTAAGTCAAGTGGAAAGAGAAATCTACAGAGAGGAAAAGAACTGCATTTTAGAACAGCATAAGAAGTATCATCAACAACTCAAGGAAGAGGAACGGGCGGCAAACCTGAAAGAAAAGGGAAAATCGTCTCGCAAGAAAAGACACAAGAAATCCGTAAAAATCGATACTCCAGAAGTGCAGGCAAGTGAGTGGAATAACATTATATTCTCCTACATAGAAGCAGATCATTTCCAACCAAAAGATGACCCTGTTTATTCTTCGAAAGTTTCGAAGAAGCTATTGGACGCCACCGAACCTTGTGAATCTATGTATATTTATGCCGCCCTTAAACCCGACACACAATTGGTCGCAATGAAATGGTTTGCCAAACAGAATTTATTCTACATCTATCCAGATTTCAATCAATTCGATATACAGCCATATTACATTGAATTGGATACAGATTATCGCCACCTGTATGTTTATGGAATAGAGGATATATCCTCGAAATTCAAACCTGAGAAAAAGGAAACAGAGGAGTTCCTTTATTTACCCGAATTATCTACGCATTGGTTGTACGAAGATGAATTGTCGAAAAAATTCTCTATGCCACCGAAGAGGACCCAACGTTGTGCCATTTTGTTTACCATTCAGGAAGTCTCCAACTTGGAATATGACAATATACACATTCGATATTCAATTAAATTGCCGCCAAATACCTTGCTGGAAGAAGGTCTGCTAGAAGCCTCAACACATTCAGCATCCCACAACAGTGACTCAACCCACATTGGTTACACTTGGCAAATCACCGTTCTATGCGAGGAGCACTTTGATCCATCGGACTGCTTGAGAATTTACTTTGAAGTGATTTCTATAGATTCCTGGCTAAGAGAACGTACCGAAGGTTATTGCCACCATACGCTGAGACTATTGAAACCTTTTTGTCACGATGTCGAATTACAATGTCTGTTGCCAACTGAATCGTTAATTGATTCGATGAATCGTTATTTTATTGGAGGACGTCGGAAATTTGATTATGTGCGATTTGTGGATGATCGAAACGGGAAGGAGGAGGACTCAGACACAGTCCATTGTCGTTATGGTGTACGCATGCGAAATTCGGGCCAACTGAAACTGACATGCCAAGCGCTGACTCAACGCAATTGTGAATTGTTAAATCCATGTGCCAGCCGCACCAGTGGCATGACTCTGGATGATATTATGATGGCTTACAAGGAAGCCCGAAGGAGATTGGAAGCCATTGCTTTCAAGTAGTTTTTTATTTGCGTGATATGAACTGTAACATTACAAATAAAAGAAGATTTCGTACAATATAATACTTGAAATTTTTTCCGTACCCAGCTATTAAAAATCTACGTTTGTAGGCCTTTAAATAGTGGATAAAAATTCTTTAAAAAATCCACGTTAGTAGGCCTTTAAATAGTGGATAAAAATTCTTTAAAAAATCCACGTTTCTAGGCCTTTAAATAGTGGATAAAAATTCTTTAAAAAATCCACGTTTGTAGGCCTTTAAATAGTGGATAAAAATTCTTTAAAAAATCAAATTTGTAGGTCTTAAAATATTGTTAAAAATTCTTTTAAAAAATCCACGTTTGTAGGCCTTTAAATAGTGGATAAAAATTCTTTAAAAAATCCACGTTTGTAGACCTTTAATTGTTGATGAAAAATCTTTAAAAAATCAAATTTGTAGGTCTTAAAATATTGTTAAAAATTCTTTTAAAAAATCCATGTTTGTAGACCTTTAAATGGATGATAAAAATCCTTTAAAAAAATCCGCGTTTGTAGGCCTTTAAAAAGTTAATAAAAATTCTTTAAAAAATCCTCAATTGTAGGCCTTTAAATTTTTGATAAAAATTCTTTAAAAAATCCTCAATTGTAGGCCTTTAAATTTTTGATAAAAATTCTTTAAAAAATCCTCAATTGTAGGCCTTTTAATTTTTGATGAAAATTCTTTAAAAATCTTCAATTGTAGGCCTTTAAATATTGTTAAAATATTCTTAAATAATGCAAGTTTGCAGACCTTTAAATATTTGATAAAAAATTCCTTAAAAAACCCACGTGTGTAGGCCTTTAAATATTTGATAACAAATTCCTTAAAAAATCCACGTTTGTAGGCCTTTAATAGTTGATAAAAATTCCTTAAAAATCCACGTTTGTAGGAATTTAAATAGTTGATAATTTTTTTTTAAAAAATCCACGTTTGTAGGCCTTTAAATATTTGATAAAAATTCTTTAAAAAATCCACGTTTGTAGGCCTTTAAATAGTTGATAAAAATTCTTTAAAAAAATCCTCAATTGTAGACCTTCAAATTTTGATATATTTTTTTTAAATCCTCAATTGTAGGCCTTAAAATAGTTGATAAAAATTCCTTGAAAAATCCACGTTTGTAGGCCTTTAAATAGTTGATACATTTAAAAAAAATCACGTTTGTAAACCTTTAAATAACAGGGGGCTATACGAAGACATGAACCTGCATACCAACATTTTTGTCATAGGCTGTAGTACCCATTACGAACTTCAAATACGAAATTTGAAATAATTCCAGCAAATAATGTCGCAAAAATCAGGGTATAAAAAGGGTCATATTTGTCGACATAGTGTTGGGGGTTGAATACCAAATAAATTAAATAATAATAAAACTAATTTTAACTGTTCACAAAATCATATTCTGAGTCGGTTTGAGCATGTCTGTCCGTCCGTCAGTCCATCAATTTTTGTAAACAAAGTACCGGTCGCTCTTATTGTCCGATCGAGATGAAATTTTGAACGAATCATTTGTTTGACTCAAGGACGAATCCTATTGAAATTGGAAATAATCGGTCAATATTTAGATATAGCTTTCATATATATCTTCGTCCGATTTTGCACTAAATGTTCAAATTATCCCAAATCGGATGGAATTTGGCACATATAACCAAATTTAGCCTAGAAAGACGTGTAGTAACAATATTCGGGGAAAGTAATAACTTAACAAAATTTTATAAAGATTGGTTCAGATTTGGATACACAGGGTGAGATGAAAAAAACTGCAACCAACTTCAGACTGCTGTCATTTCTAAGCAACTCGTCCGACAGCTGTTAAAACTATTCCAGTGACAGATCAGATCATTGTTTACAAGCGTACAATTTTGTTGAGAATTTTCCAGAAAAAAAGTCATTCGGAATTGAAGCATGATAGTGTGATTTCTATATATTTAGCTGGAAAACCACAAGTGGCTATCGTTAGAGCACTCCAGCATTTCAATGTGAATAAATCTTTTGCGTCTCGTACCATCGCTCGTTACCGTGATACTGGAAGCGTAGCCCGACGTCATGAAAGTGGACGGAAGAAAATAGCAACATCAGTAAAAATGGTTCGAAAAGTAAAGAGGCGACTTTATCGAAACCCGCGTCGCAGTGGGCGAAAAATGGCTTGTAAGCTGATCATATCGCAATATTCCATTCGGCAAATATTGAAAAATGAGCTCGGGGTAAAGCCATTACAAGAACTTACACCGCAACGGAAAGAAAATAGACTAAAAAAGAGCTTAAGAGTTGCTTCGCTTGGCCGAAAGTTGTGAACTGCCGAATTTGGTTTTCTCCGATTAGAAACATTCGTTGTCCAGCAGTATGTAAACAAACAAAATGATCGTGTTTACATGCCAAAGAGGAAAGCAAGGTTGGCTCTAAAATAAGTGTCGATCACCTCAAGCAAGCGCTTCGTCGGGAATGGGCCAAAATACCGCAGAGCAATTTTTGTGCAGCGTGTGATATTTTCATTGGTCGTTTGAAGACCATAATTCGTGCCAAAGGTGACCAAGTCGAACAAATCTAAACTTATTCTAAAATTTGATGCTATTTCCGACATTTTTTTGCCTGCATTCAATGAAATTAAAAACAAATGTAAAAATTATGGCGTTTGACACTGTTGCAGTTTTTTATCTCACCCTGTATAACAGTGTCTCACAACTTGAGAAATTTTAAAGTTTTAGAAATTTTATGTTTTGGTAAAGGTTTGCTCAGGTAACACTAACCCCAGATTGCAGGTTTTAGAAACCTAAACCAAATGTTTCAAGAGATTTGGACATTATTTACATATTTCTCATGGTGGAAAGTATTAACTGTTCGGCCCAACTTAACTCTAGATGAAACCCATTTTGGTAAGAATTCGAAAAAAGGGATACATCGAAATTATTTTATAAATACTGACTCATTTTTAATTAATCTGAATCCGTTAAACCCTCTTCCTGACAAAAATTTCACAGTTTCCATTCGAAATACGTTGATTAAAACATCAAAACACTGATGAACTCTTTCGTCCTTTTACCAACCAAACATGTTGCAAACACACAATTTGGAACGTGGAAATTTACATTTCTTTAAGAGACATTAGTTACAAAAAGAAAAGAGAAAATCTAAGTATTTGCTCTCTTAATTCGAAAATGAAAATTTTCGAAAATACAAATATACACATTTTTACATTCTCTGTTCGAATACATTTTAGTATGCTATTAACCTTTCTAGAGGAATGTTATAAGGATATCAAAGGAATTTCCATGCACACAACATGAAAAAAATTGCGAAAAATTAAAATTCAAGGGATTAGCTTGACTTTGTTAAAGTTTAGTTATTGTAACACCCAATTTGTGTGCATCTTTTAGAACACAAGTTTTAATTGGTATTTTGGATGTAGATTTGTAATGTAATATTTGAAAAATTAAGACAAGATTTTTCAAAACCATTTTTTTGGATATGTGATTTTCTTCTCAGAGCGCTACAGATTTAAAGGATTAAAAAACTCGTAACTAAAATTGCTACAAATTTATAATAGCGCGGAGGATTGAAATGACAAATGTCACAATAAAAAAAAAAAAAGCAGCAATGTGTAGAATGTATGTGTCTGTGAGAATACATATCCCCAAAAATTGATGTCTGCATAGCTTCTTTTTTTTCGGCTACTAAATATTTTAGAGCAATGACTTTGAACTCTCAAGTCTGCACTAATGTTTGCTGGCAGACAAAATGAATGGATGTGGACATGGCTATGGAACTATAAAATATACACACTCAGGACAATGTCAATAGCCATACTGGTCAGCAAGTCAGTTATGATGTGTGTGTGTGAGTTTGAGTGTGTTTGTGCGAACACTGGGGCTACATCAACAAACCATAAATTCTAATGTCATCTGTTGTATCCCTTCAACTAACTATACAGCACATATACACACACATACTATAAGGATATCAGTCAGCCTTGTGAAGAGTATATCTTCTTATAATATAGGTATGTGAGGTATTTGTGTGTATGTGTGCATTTGCCACATTATTTTAAGGTTTAAGAAGAGTATATATTTCAAGACAAGTCCAAGACTGTTTGTGTAACGTATTATCTGGTGAAGTCTAACAGCCACATGGCTATTATATCAAATATAATGGGTTCATTATGAGAAGTGTGGATTTAAATTTGAAGAATGTAGATGATTGAATTTCAGAAACCGAACCGAGTCAAATCTTACTGCTCATTACTAGAGAGGGAACATATTTGAAAATATGTTCAAATGCTATAAATCCGAATAATTTTTGGAGCACACATTTGGTTTTCTAATAAACCTTAATATAAAAGACATTGGTCACATTTGTTAAAATCCTTAAAAATATCGAATTCGAGGAGATATCTAAATCGGGCGGTTTCTTATATAAGGGATATACCAAAACCAAAACTTATTTCGATTTTTATACAAAGTTGACGAATTCAATGAGAAACCAATTCCGTTGACAAATGCGGCTACAACCTTTAAAATGTGTGCCTGAAATAGGGCGCTGTCGGGGCTACATAAAACCTGTGTATTTGTATACACTTATACTATTCAGAAGGAACCCTAAATAACAAATTATAACCCAAGCGAAAAAAAAAAAACAAGTAAAACGCAGTATCTTCGGGAGAACATTGAACACCCTCTACCACTTGAAATTAGTTTTGAAATTTTCAAAAAAATCCGTTAAAAATTCTTAAAATCTTAAAAATACCGAATAAAACTGTCATATTGGGATCTATACCAATACGTGGACCTGAAATTTTCAAATAAAATCCGTTAAAAATTCTTAAAATCTGAAAAATGCCGAATATAATTGTTATATTGGGATCTATACGAATACGTGGACCTGCATATCCATTAAAATATTTAAATACGAAACTTAAAAAAGAAAAAATCTAAATATCGAATATAGGGAGGTGCCCGTATATCGGGGCTATACGAAGACCTGGACCTGCATAGAACATTTTCTGTCATAGGCTGTAGTACCTATTATGAACTTCGAA